TTAAAAGAGCGTTTTTTACTCTATATTATACCATAAAAATAATAATAAGGTTTTGAACGTAGACGCTAGGGGGCGCTTTCTTACAATTTAACAAACATAGCGCGTTTTTTTCAAAAAAATTAAATACGATAGTATGTGTTATTTTAGCTGATAGTAAAGAGTAGTAAAAGCTTAAAAAGTCAGCGAAAACCGCATCTTGATATCTTCTTTCAAACCGAAGATATTAGCAAAATTTTAATAAATACCAAAAAATAAGCCCCTTAATTACATTCTTTTTACGATACAGTATCAGTAGCCCTCTTGATTAGGCCCATTCTAACAAAAAAATAAGATAGAAACAGTTTGTTTATTTTAAAATCGACGAAATACCAGAATACCATAATACCAGATGTATTAATATCTAATAATTAAGATATTAATAATAGTGAACAAGAAACGATGATTCAGTGAAGTCATGGTAGGCTTTGGAAAACAGTTGCTTTTCGCGTAATAGTATAAACGTCAAATTGTTATTAGATCAACATTTTGATAGTCTTAGCAGCGTTTTTTTTATCTTTTAAGTGCTTTGTGTGATATCATATTGTGTGATATCATATTTCGCAGCATTTGAGCGACAATAGTTTTGCAATGAACATAGTGCCGATCTGGCTTCGACATCACTTCTAAACGATCGGTTTCTAACTTGAACAAAGTTACACCCCAGGAGGGAACAGGTATATGCATCTCAGAGGAACCAGACATCCGACGATCTCTAAGGCTATCGGATGGCTGCAATGTCCTACAGCCATCAACAAACAGAGGTTTACGCTATAAATTAAGCGGCCAGTTGTACAGGTTTGGTGCATTTCAGTTGATTTCAACAAATTCCGACCGCAGCGCACTCTAGGCAGAAATCAGAAATGATCAAAATCTAGTTCACGCCGGCCGCCGTCATGTCGATCGCATTAAAATAATATTGAAATCGGGGTTTTGTCATAATATTTAAGTATTTTAGTTTTTTGCTAGTGCAGTTATTGAGACTATAAAAGACTCACGTACGAGGTTTGTGTAATGTAACGCTGTTATAATAATAATAGCTCCCGTATATAGCGTTTAACGCATTGGGAGTAGCAAGGTACAGCTTGCTATACTAGAGCCGTCCGGTATACAAGGAAGGTAATGTGGCTAGCACTACGCTTCAACCGCCTATTATTACCTCAGGATTGTGAATCCCAAGTACTCATTTAAGGCTGAGTCGACCTAGGTACCCAAACTATTTTTATTTTAATAAAAATAGTCGGCTGATGAAATGCCGGGTGTGGGAATCAAACCCACACCTTGAGATTGGTAGACGAGAGCCTGTACCTCTACGCCACCGGGCACCATTGTAACGCTTGTTTCGGGTATTAAAAAATAAGTGAAAAAGAATTCGAACTAGGCGTCTTGTTGTGTTAGGTTAGGTTTGGTTTGGTGACAATTTCGAATGTTAATAAAATTGCCCAAAAAAATGTTAACGCGTAATGGAGGGCGTAATTAGGGCATTATTGGGTGCAATAACATTCAATAACTCAACTTTCCCGAATATTCAACTCTCCCGAAACAATATTTTCTAGCGTCATAATTTCTCATACTTTTTTAATCAACTAGTGATTAAATGTTTTATGAACATCTTCTAAAATTATAACTATGTACCTTAAAAAATTTCGTTATAGCTGAAATAGATCCAATTATGCCCCACTAGTAAAACCGGTGATAAAACTATGCTCGCTACCGTAGTTGAACTCATCTAATTTTTTTTTAACTGGAATAATAAATTATAATGCAAGTTAGATCTTCTGAAGATATCAAAATATTTATCTTTTTATTTTTTTGTTTACAATTTCCACAAATTATACTTTCTAATACTTTTAGAATAATTATATACTAATTTTTTCGTTTACTCGCCATTTAAACCCGTGTATTTGTAGTTATTGGACGGAGAATACACCAAGCCTATACGAGGGAAAATCGCTGATAGACCAATAGGACATATAGGTCGTATACTTTAACAACTTGGGCACTCTAAAAAGCATCACTATGTAATTATTGAGATCTAAAACTGTGATGGACTGCCTAGAAGCACTGTCCTGGCTGCGTCAAGGGGTGCGACTCTCTGCTGGCCACAGCAATGTAGTGGGCAGTCAGGAAGCGGACAGACTCGCCAACGAGGGGGCCAAGGGGGAATACGTGGCATATACCACCACCTGTGACAATCAACACACTGAAGGAAGTTATAGTAACTACCATCAAGGCCTAGCAGCAAAAAAGACGTGGCAATACCGTGAGGACTGCGCTACAGCTCGAAGACTGTGGCCAGTCTTAGATAGCAAAAAGACAAAACTACTAGAGCACAAAAAAAACATACGCTAATAGTAGGTGTCATCCCTAGTAGGTGATTGTGTCACTGGTAGGTGCTTGTGGGAACAAATCTCCTGTAGATAGAAGTACAAAAGTAAAAAGTAAATATATTAACTATTTACCTGTCAAGCAACCTGTTTACCTGTAACAAATTCGGTAGCATTCTGTCATCCGTTCTGGCACTTCCGTCATTTCATATTTCGACATAAGTATCCCTAAAAAAATTACTCGTGACATAATCTTTAATGCAACCCTTGCAAGCCATGTCCAACAAAGATTATCTCATCGCTCTCGTCAAGAGCAATATCGCAGAGGGTGGATCGGCCGCGCGGGAAGGAGATGGCCCATCTCCGCCGCCATCTTACTCTCCCAGTTCGAGGAATAGTTCCGTGGGCGATTTCGATGAAAACGACAGCTATTGTAAAAGCTCAATCGGTTCTACAGGGCGTTTCAAGGAACATGTGCCATACTTCGTGGGGAGATTCCTCAGGTAAAAAAAAAAGAATTATTTTTTATATCCACATAGGTCCGATTCTGCTTCGTTTCGTAGCTACGGGGGGTTAAAGCCTTCATTTTTCTTCGATTTATTATAATTTTCTTTCGTGTGCGTATTAGTGGAGTGCCCATAGACTTTTACCTCGGAATTTTTAAATGCGCACCTGCATTTTTTATTGGCCGTTTTGAAAGAACTCGATCTCCTGATTACAATGATATGCCACATTTAATATTTTTTTGTTGTTTCTGACATTTCAGCACAATTTATTTAAACTAATTTCAAGTCGGGCTCTGTTTTTTTTAATATTTAATCTATTCATGTTACAATATATTACTTATGACGTGCTGTAAAACATTGAATACGGAAAATCAAATCGATAAAACAATAAAAAAATATAAATGTAATATAATATAAACAATCAAATAATTTAATAATGGATTGGAAATGGTAGAGCAGTATAATGGCCAGCGAGATTCCAGGACCTGTCGCCAAGGGGTTAGTCTATTACTTGACGTCATTTGTAAAAGTGAAATCAATACCATTTTAACATTTACAATAAAAAGTACAAAATGCATTCGGAAGTATAAGAAGGAGATATGCTCAAAGAGCTATAAATCAAATTGAACGAAAAATAAATTTGTGCAATAGGGAGGGTCAACCCTTTCGAACATGTTGAGCATTAGCAACTAGTTTGTAGAAATTGATTTATTTATAATAACTACGATTAATATTATGCATATTATTAGATCGTACACTGAGATTTTCCAAAAAAAAAGTTAATAATAACATCTTTAAATTGCTGACGTGGATATTATTTATTTGAATCTTCTAATTGGCTTGATTTTCCTTATTCAATCTTAATTAGCGCTGATCAATATTGTTGCAATGAATATAATCAGATTACATAATTTAAAAAACCAGAGTCTGACTTGAAATTATTTTAAATAGTAATTATATAGTTTTGTTGTTATTAAGGTACCCAAAACAAAAAAAAAGTATAAAGTGTGGCATATCATTGTACTCAGGACACCAAGTTCTTTCAAAACCTGAAATAAAAAATGCAGGTCGGTATTTAAAAATATTAAGTTGTCCTCTGTATCTCACAAATTATCAAGTTATTTGAAAATCTAAAAAACTATCAATTAGACCTAATAAAGTGATTATTTTATTATTTTCTAAGAAGCAACAGCAGACAGGAAAAAATAAAATTTATTTTCAAAAAAATCTGCTTTTTCTAAAAAACTCAGCAATCCTTGAAATTTTTAAAACTTTTTTAATGGCATGTTGGTGAATATCCCAAAGCGCAACTTTGCCCTAATTTAACCATATTCGTATCTATTAACCGTTGCCGAGATATTAATGCTCGTACCTCGAATTTGTAGCACCCTGTATAAAAATGCACAATTTAAATAAATCTTGCAATAACTTACTCTAGCGCCTTTCAGGCGCCATCCAACTACTTACGCCTGTGAAACATACGCGAGTACTTAAGGGTTAAAGATACAGTTTTAAAGATTTTTTTGGGGAATTTGCTGTAGGTAGGTAGGTAGCACCATAATAACATCAGTGTTATAAATTTTAATATCATTTAATAATAAATTAGATGAAATAAATAGTTTATTAATTTTATTTTAATTTTAATTTTATTAATTGTGATTAATAAAACTGCGCTTATCTCCTCAGTGAGATCCAAATGGACAAAATATCAAGACACAATTTTTTATCTTTTTTTAATCGGTAGTAAAAGCAGGCCTACACAATTTTGCTAACAAGAGAAAAAGAAGTCAATGGCGCATATGTTTTTTTAGAAAAATATTCCAATAATAATCCATATGCTCGCCCCTGGTAAATCTGTCGGCACTTTTTTAGCATTAAAATATTGTCACTTATAGTAACTTTTAGTCTCAAAAATTTCATTCGAATCGCTAAAAGCTCTCTGAATAAAATTATAAGAATCGAAAAAAATATGAAGACCCCTTGTAGCTACGAAACAAAGCAGAATCGGGCCTATGTTGATATAAAAAATAAATCTTATTTTTACGTGAGGAATCTCCCCACGAGAGATGGCACGTGCTTTTTGAAACACCCTATATATTTCTAAGTTGTACAAGTTTGTCTTTTTTTTCAGATACGATGCGATCGCCAACGGGACCGATGCGCGGCCGCACTGTCAAAGAATTCGAGGAACAACTCACCACCCTCAAAAAGGAGAATTTCAACTTAAAACTGAGGATCTATTTTCTGGAGGAAAAAATGGGAACTAACTTCACCTTGGACAAGGATAATATCGTTAAGAAAAATATCGAACTACAAGTAAGTTTTTAAACATCTATTTTTCAGAGTTAAACGAGATTGTTATAGTAAACGCCACGAATGATTGGGAATGATTCATCGCTTGATGAAGATAGAATCGACACGCGCGCTATCATTTTTATATTAAAAACGTAAATTTTTACCGCAGACGTAGGGTTTTAAAGGCCCGGTCTAATCATCTGCCTGCGCTTTTCCGACTTATTCTAAAATGTTAGCGTGATTGACAAAGACGATACTATATCGCGTTTCTTTGATTGATTCGTTTTTGTGCGTCAGTCCATTGGTGTGCTTGCAGTGCGACCAATGGGGCATTCCATTTTATATTTATAACCAAATATATGTTTTGACAGGACTTTGACAGTTAAAACAACAAATTACAACAGATTATATTGATTATTATATGATTTGAAACACCACGGCACTGGAATTAAGTTTTATGTGACCTTGAACAGATTAGTTCACATGGTAGCGACCGATGAATCACTCTCAAACATTCGTAGCGTTTACTATATAATTTGTATAGGGTTTTTTAACGTCAATCTGATTGACTAGTTTCTCTGTATAGCAATGGCGGCTCGTGCGAATTCAGAAAGGCAGTGCCAGAATGAGAGCCAAAAAATAACTCACATATTACCCTCACGCCTCGTGTGAGGGTAATATGTGAGTTATTTCCTCACCCTCACGCCTCATTAAAGTTCTTGATGTTTAATGAATCCTGAGGACTATATTTAGGATTTATAAAAATATATTTTATAGTGTTAAGGATTTCGCAGGTCTTTAATTCAAACATACGATAAAACCGTCGAAAACTGTGTCTTTAGGTTAGGTTAGGTTAGTCCACCTCTCTACAATTATTCATCACGATCATTGGTGTAACTACAGGAGGACACACAAAAGTTCTGTAAACTTTGGAGTGCGAGTCAGATTGTAAACCCACTAAAAAAATCCACCCCCGAGGAATCAGCTGCCGAAGTATGGCCAGCTATACAGGGTGTCCCAGGCTGAGCGTGCATTAGAAGTTTCTAGAGAACCACAGTTTCTAGATCGGAGTTTTTTTGCACATCATTGTTTTACAACGAGATCTATCTATTAAAAATATTTTAAATATGGCGTCACTTCCGGAAATACCGGAAGTTGACAACAACTTTCTTTTTTTAAACGGGTTCCCTCATTTTTTATTACATAAATAAGTTCTCTGTAAAATTTTATGAATTTTTATATTAAATACTCTATACCTGATGTTTTCCTGAGTATTTTGACGTTTTTGAGAAAAATATATTTAAAATTTTTGGATGAAAAAAACTACCTGTCAAAAAAAATTGTATAGCCTAAAAATCAAATTTAGTGATTACCACAGCCACTGTGACACAAAGAGAAGACATGTGGCTATCTATTTCGAAAATTAAATTGTTCAAATGTCATATAATAATGGTGGTAACTGTCATGGAATTGAGCTATTAAAAAATTATCATAAATCAATTTTTTCAAATGGAAACCCACTTTTTTATTTCACTATGCAATATGTGTCATATTTTCACGAATTGAAAAGCCTTTTCACTAGTGAAATAAAAAAAGTTTGTTTCCATTTGAGAAGAATGATTTATAACATTTTTTAATAGCTCAATTCCATGACAGATGCGGTCATTATTATATGACATTCGAACATTTAATTTTTGAAATAGATAGCCACATGTCTTCTCTTTATAGCACAGTGGCTGTGGTAATCACTAAATTTGACCTTGAGGCTATACGCATATTTTTGACAGGCAGTATTTTCTTCCAAGAATTTTAAATATTTTTTTTCTCAAAAATAGTTAATGTTAGGTATAGAATGTTTGATATCAAAATTCATAAAATTTTACAGAGAACTTAAGTATGTAATAAAAAATGGGGGCACCCATTTAAAATAAGAAAGTTGTTGTCAACTTCCGGTATTTCCGGAAGTGCCGCCATATTGAAAAATTTTTAATGGATAGATCTCCTGGTGAAACAATGATGTGCAAAAAATCTCCTATCTAGATCTTATAGTTCTTAGAGAAGAAAAGAGCTTGGAAACTTTTAATGCACGCTTAGCCTGGGACACCCTGTATATCTGATGATATTGGGGAAGAAAGAAAAGAGATTGTTTATGTTTTTAGGGCTATTTTAAAGGAGGGGGAAGACAAATTTAATATTTATCCGGAAGATTTGTTTTAGAAAGGGGTTAATCTAAATTTACACTGACAGTGGCTTTCATTTTGAAATTTGACAGAATGTTTCGGTCAAATAAGTATCACCGACCGTTATAAAGTATGAACTCTGAACTAATTTAAATCCTAATAGTACTGAGCTTATATACTAGAGCAAATCATTTACCCGTGACAGAGTTAGATACAATTAAGCTTGAGGTTGTCTGCTGATGACACCAGCATTCGCATTCTTGATAATAAGTGGTTGCATCATTTTGGAAATTTTGCATATTTGGATTGTTTTAAATTTTATTGTTGCACTTGGTTAAGAGGGTATTATTTTATTATTTCAGGTTGAAATAGCAAATTTACAAAAGGACGTTAAAGAAAAACACGATTTATTTTCTCAAGCGGTCAAAGCGCTCGAGTTAGAAGAAGAGGAATATAGAAAATACAAGCAGAGGAAAGAAGACCAACTAGTTATGCTACAACAAGAAGTAGAAGAGCTTAGATTGCAAATGGAGGTGATAATTTTTTATGACATAGAAATATATTTTAAAATCCATTTTACGCAACACTCGAATTTGTTACGTCGAACGAATGTTAAGCCGAGAACAGACCTGACGAACCATTTGTTCGCATTCGCAACATTGCTATTCGTTCGCACCGGGCGACGTGTGACACATTTGAACGAATCCTTTTCATTCGCTAACATTTCCACCATTCGCACTCTTTCCACTTCCTGCATTTTTACTGAGACGTCCACACAGCAACGTTTCTAATCATCCGCGGCTCGCGTTTTTCTTTGGTCTATTCACTTTTACCACCAGAAGATGGAAAGCATTCGTTCGCGCTGAAACCATTTGTCGTACGTATATTCGCTGCGAATGCAATTCACACCTGAAGCCTGACACAGACCTGAACGTTGCGCCGAATAACAAACGGAACAACGAACCGAACGACAAATGAGACGCTAGTTTGGACGGGCTACGAACATGTTTGCAAACAGAATTTCAAATCTTGGCTTGGTTGTCGGTTTTTAGTTTGATATCAAACGAAAATGCATGCGAATGCGTTTGAAAGTTTGGACGGAAACAAAAACAAAATGGCGAAAGCAGTAAAGGCTTATTTAATAAAAAATATTATCTTATTTAATTAGAATTTCCTAGGCATAATGGAGTGATCGGAAGAGAAATGTTTTGATTTAATTAGATTGTACCAAAAACACAAATTACTGTGGCAATCTAAAACTACAAAATGTTCCGCATTTCTTTGGGTGTATAAATGTATTTTCCACCATCCTCTTTATTTTCTAGCTTTTTTTTTTGGAAGTTAACGCATAATATATAATATGTAGATATATGTTGCTGCAGCATCCACATTTGAAACATTTTCAAAATAAAAGAAAAAATTTTCGTTTGCTGTTCGGTTCGCTAAAAGTAAGTTTATAATTTTTCGTCTTCATTTGCCATTCCGTTTGTTGTTCGGTGCAACATTCAGGTCTGTACGAAGCTTCAAGCTTCATATTTTTTTCATTCAAATGTTTCTTCAAGAGAAACATTTTCTCGCGAATGCGAACGAATGTTGACGTTCGTCAGGGCTTGAATTCTGTAACTTAGAAAACGCTAAGCGCTTTTAGACGCTCAGCATATATAAGATTAATTTTCGCTTAGCGCGCACTTAACTACCGATTTGGGTATTCTCATCTGACGCGCTTAGCGTCTGTACCCATTGCTCTAAGCGGTTTGAAAACTGCTACCTTACAGGATCGTTTTGCTTGTACAGTCAGTCAGTAAAAACAGAAAAAAATGTGATTTTGTGCGTTCTCTTGCTCTCTATTTCTTCTTGTATAAATTTCTCAATAAGTTATTGATAATTTACGACTTGGCAGCTATAAATGTTGTTCAAAACATCGAAAATGCTGTCTTCAACATTTCCCTCGTATAATAAGAATAATGCCACACCATAGAAAAATATATGGAAAAATAGGTTGACATAACATCATGTAACACTGACATTTTTCATCGTTTTATCTACATTTGACTGTTAGTAAACTATTAGATACCTGAGAAATTGCGATGCTGCCAATATGTGCTCAACGCGTATCCAGAAAACGATTCGCACGGCAACGAGGATACCAGAATCGACTGCTTGACGTGCCGCTGATCGAATACTTTTGCTTACCGCTTTGAAAGCGTAACGTTTTTATATCGAAGTTCCAGAATTCGGGCCCAGGTGTGTCCTCGGCTTTACATGCTGTTTATTTTTCATAAAAAGTCGAACTATACCGATTTGGTCATCGAAACTGTGCGGTCTGGATTTTAACGTGTAAAACAATGATGTAGATAGCTTAATGGGCATTCAAATATATTAAAAAGAGATAAAAATTTGGTCGACACATTTCTTTTATGCGTTATTGCCGGATTTTGCATCAAAATTTCAAACCGTACAGGTAGGCGTTTACGAAAAATGTTGCATCTAGGGTTGGAAGTTTATTTTTCACTATTAGTTACTCATTTTACTACAGCTGTAATAGACTATATTTAGTTTAGATATATTATCTTCATTTTAGAGTAGTATACATAAAAGTTTTTAAAATAGCTTATATTTCTCAATACACATTTTCGTACAAACGTAAAAAACCGGCAACACTCTAGGCCGTTTTTGATATTGTCTCTCTGTCTGTCATTTATATTATTCTTTGTCACGCGCATTAAAATCCAGACCACATAAATTGGATGACAGCAGGGTATATAGTCTGGCAAGGAAATTCATAATATCAGCAGACGACGCGACGTCAAAAAAATGAAAGCAGAAACTGTATTAATAGAGTATTTGTTTAAAATGATAGACAACTGTTCATTAACGAAGGTTGTTTGTCTTTTTAAGCTAATACTCTATGATTTCTGATAACATGGATGGCCATAGTCTGCTTATGGCTATCCATGTTAGCTTTGTAGACGCGTTTTTGACAGCTGTCATCTGAAACTTACTTCCTCGGTGTTTAAAACACATATTATATGGAAAACTAGTTGCTTTTTAGTTTTTAAGTTATAAATAAATAAATGCCTTTATTGACAAAAAATTTTTCAATTTGTAGACAAAGGTAAACTAAACAAAGTAAACAAACAAAGTACACAAACAAACAAACAAAAGATAATACAAAACATTATACAAATAATATTGTCAGTCTTATTGTTTAAAATAAACATTTATAAACGTTTACAATGTCAAAGAACAAAAAAATAAAAACAACATTCACGTATTACAGTTACGTATTAAACATAGAAAATTTCAATTTTAGGTCAACGCTTGCAAAAGGGATAGTGATCAAGTAATAAATTCGTATGATAGGAGCGAAATGCTTCATTTCCAAATCGATACCCTTCATAAAGAGTGCGAATCTAAAGATGCATCTTTGGCGACATTGAATCGAGAACTTTCTGTTGCAAACCAACGGCTTGTAGAGTTTGCTTGTCAAGCTAAAGAATACGAAGAAAAAATCGAACGTTCTCGTCTCAAGCAGGAATCCTTGGAAGTTAAAGTTCAAGAACAGCAAAAAACTATGGAACGCCTTTACGCTCAATTAGAGGTTTCCAATCAGCGATTTGTCAATGCAAAGGCGGACCTGGAAGAAGAGAAAAAGGAACGGGAACACGACAAAAAAATATTAGAGCGAAACCAAATGGCTTTAACCCTCCGCTTGGATTCGTTACACGTCGAGAATAAGAGGCACAAAGACACGATCCGTGATATGCAGATGAGACTGGAAGCGGCCGTCTCCGAGGCGAACAAAAATCAGAATTTAGCGGTGGACCAGGACTGTGTTTCCACCCCCCAACAATCAACTGACGCTCATTTTCTTTCAGTTTCGGACGCAGCAGCACCTAATGGAATTGCGCAAACGGACGCACCACATGTACCGGTAGGCGAGGCGGAAAGTCGCTCTCCGGCGCCTTCCACGCCCGACGGGCGTGCTCTCGCCACATTCGAGCGACTATTGGCTGAGGGGGGTGGCGACGCTGCGCTGCTCGCCCGATTCGGTGCCGTAAAAGCCGAATTTACCACCCAAAAACAGAAGATCGTCAAATTGAAAAGTGAGCAACTGAAAGCCTGCGAAATCATAAAGAGCATGATAGAAATTAGGAATAGGAGCAACGAAGAAATCGCGCGGCTGAAGCAAAACAAAGAAGAGTTGGAACGGGAATTGGAAGGCGTGGTGTCTAAGCCAACCAACGAGGGAGTGGCCCGATTAGAGATGGTCGAGGATATGGAGATCTCCACACCACCGTGCGAGGTAGATGTTACTTATAATTTGAACAAGGCTTTTTATGGCAAATTTCACTTCGCTTTGTAAATGCATGTTTTCATCTTCTCATTGCTTTTTGCTTTCCATATGTATCTTTAGTTGCCAATTAATATTTTCGAAACGTTAATAGAGTTCAAGCATCTAATTGTATGTTTTATTAACTTTCAAATACGAAACGTAAGAACGGACAGAAATAATTGCACACATATCTTACGTAATTTATTTTATATTTTTGTGTACAACATCGTGAAATTTAAATATCCATCGAATATTTTTTCTTGCAGACAGATCAAAATTTATCGACGTTTCGACGGCTTTTTACATCCTTCTCATCCAAAGGCTTTTGTTTGTGTGGTTTAAGATGTTAATTTTTATTTTTGTTTATCCTTTGTTTCGTTTGTTTTTTTATTGTAGTTTATTGATGTTTTATTGCTTTGTATAATTTCTTGCTCAAGAATCGTTTTCAAAATAAATATATATTTAAAGAGCAATATTATTTTTTCTTATATCCATTTTTCGGCCTTCATTTAATATTCATTTTAATTTCAAATTAATAATTGTCCTATATTGATTTACCTTAAAATTAATTTTCTTAATATATCTGTTATGAGTTATAGACCACTCATATGTAAATAATGTCTATACCTGTCGTGTGTGTCTAAATATAAAAAGAATCGAAATGAAACGCATTCTTTGTTATATATGATTACATTCAGAGACAATCTTTGATATTTAACCGTTTATGTTCTTACAATAAAAAACAAACGAAACTACCTTCAATCTATCAGAACTATAAACTATATACAGGGCGTCTCGACATAGTACTACTATATTTCATATCAATTAAACTTTTAGTTACGTAATCGAGGGCGCGATTTTTAAATTCATTGTTGCCAAACATGGACATATACGGCGCCGTGCTGACTAAAGTTTCATTCAGAACCTCGAAATCAGTTGAATAAATTAGTAGTTTCAATTAGCCATAGAAGTTTGTTCACCTAATTTTAATGTAAGCATTCAGAACGTCATAATTAGTGGTAGTAATTTTCAATTATTGGACAAACTTTTGACTTTTCCACTGATTATACTTCAAAATTTGCGAGGAATGCCATTTTGGCCTTTGATTATCACCCGTCAAGAAAAATTTTGGTTAGAAATCAAAAGTTTATTGTTTTATAAGCTAAATATTATGCTTTCTCTATGGATACAATAGACTACCGCAAGCTGTTGCTAGTATATTTTATTAATTTTAATTGTGTTTTTACACATTGTGAATGATCGTAAACTAAAAAGTATAAAATGTAATTGAAACCACTAATTGGGAGGTACTGAATGAAGCTTAACTGGAATTTAAATTTTGCGTTGGTCATTCAGGTGGTAGCTCTACTGCAAAAATGTCAAGTTGTCGCATTTATTTATTTATTTCCTGACATTGTCATTCGTTTAGACACTTTAGTTTTGTATTACGAGTTTTTGGTTTAAATAAATAGTGTTGTGATACTTTAAACTTGAAAATGTTCCCTAGCAGACCTTGCAGTCGAACATTGTTCTTTTAGAACCTCGTTTAGTGCGAAGTGTACAAGTTAGTTTAATAGCTTTATTAGAAGATTTTGAACGGGAAAGCGATAGTAATGGCCCTTAAGTGCTGTTAATAACTGCTTATATATTTATAATTAATTTATTTTTGTTTCCTAAAATATTTTGATTTTGATTAAAAGAAAATATATAAAAGTGGGTAACGCCATGTCGGCCAAGCTTAATTACGCGACTAAAAGTTTATTTGGTATGAACTGTATGTATTTCTGGAATCAAAATAAGTTTATATGTAAACACAATTTACCTCTATACAACAGTGTATTTATCTATTAAGGGGCAAGAATAAACCAACACGATAATTAATTTCAAATTTATGAAGCTTATTGTCATAGATGATTTGTGAAACTGACCTAACATTTGACATTTCTTCTAAATTTTAACGCTTGATGTGACAAGAAATATTTTTGTAAGGTAGCTTTGTATATACATTTTTTTTTCAAAAACTATGTTAGGTGCCATTTTTTACGAGAGATAAAAATGTATTAGAAGAACCTTATTACGTAAAAAATCAGTCGTAAAGCAAGTTGCAGAACATTTCTACTAGCAGGGCCTATCTTACCAAAAGGCCCGGGCCTTGGGCCCGGTGGTCTGGGGGGCCCGTTAGAGGTTGTAAAATGTTCATAATTTCAAATGTAAATTTACATAGCAGAGAAAAAAAAAACAGTTACCTCTGATAAGGAAAACAGAATTAAATAAAATAAGCTTTAGATTGATATAATTTTTGTTTTTTTTTCATTATTTATTTTGTTGAATATAATAATGTTTATTTATTTTTTAAAAGTATTAAAAAAATAAAAATAATTGTTTAATTTTTTTAACCCACACTAACAAGAGAATTTTTGAATTTTATTGGAAAAGAGGGCCCGAATTTTTGCTTGGGCCTTAGGGCCCGACCAGATGAAAAATAGGCCCTGTCTACTAGACTTTCTGTTTTCCTTTTTATACACTTTCTATTTTTTGTGAAAATCAAATGTTAAAGCGCCTATCAAAACACTGGTATAGTAAACGCCACGAATGTTTGGGAGTGATTCATTGCTTGATGAAGTTAGAATCGACACGCGCGCTATCATTTTTACATTAAAAACGTAAATTTTTACCGCAGACGTAGGTTTTTAAAGGCCCGATCTAATCATCTGCCTGTGCTCCTCCTACTTATTCTAAAATGTTAGCGTGTTTGACAAAGACGATACTATATCGCGTTTCTTTGATTGATTCGTTATTGTGCCTCAGTCCATTGGTGTGCTTGCAGTGCGACCAATGGGGCATTCCATTTTATATTTATAACCAAATGGTAAAGGTGTGGATCCGGTGGCTGACCTTGAAGCCCATATTTGCTGCATTTGATCATCGATACTCCGCAAGCGCACATCGTCGATGTTGCCAAATTGCAATTTATTTTCGAATTATTATATTTGCAGTTGAAATTTTTTTTTGAGTGTTAATCAATAATCAATAATAATACAAATTCTATAATTAATTTTATAATTTCAGATTTATCTTGATATCCATAATTAAGGTAAGAAAGAATATATAAAATTGTATATATATGTATAAGCAGAATTAAAACAAGGTAACTGTTAATGTTGCTGAAGCTGATTCTACAATTTTAATTACGGAGGCTAAAAGGCCTTTTAAGGCCTCCGTAGTTTTGATGGAATGTTAAAAAAAACTATTATGAACATGACATGGAGCTACAGCATTTAAAAATTAAAAAAAAAAGAAAAAAGAAAAAACTTGGACACATCCCTTTTAATTTCCCGAATTTTTAATAAAGCCCTTTTTAAACGTAGCATAATAATCCAGAGCAATTAGATTAATTATAGGAATCTAGAGTTTTATTTCTATTTAATTTTATTGCCTATGAAAATACATAATAAGCGTTCACGTGTTCACAAGCGAAATATTAAAATAATAATATAAATAATATACCGCGTACTATGATTGAAAAAAAATAGCATCAGCGATGACTATGAAATGAAGATCGCTGTCATTTTATATGGGAAATGTCAATCGTCATTTCCCAGCCAACTGGACGCCGTTTTTTCGATTATAGGTATATATTGACAAAAAACACTGAAAAGCATATATTTGTTTTCTACTGAAAATAATTCCAAAATAACTTGCAAACTGGCAACATCGAAGATGTGCGCATGCGTAGTGTCTGTCACTATATGCAGCAAAAACTCGTTTCAAGGTCAGCCACCGGATCCACACCATTACCAACCAAATATATGTTTTGACAAGACTTTGACAGTTCAAACAACAAATTACAACAGATCATATATTGATTATTATAATGACTTGAAACACCACGGCACTGGAATTAAGTTTTATGCAACCTTGAACAGATTAGTTCACATGGTAGCGATCGATAAATCACTCCCAAACATTCGTGGCGTTTACTATTCCCTAAATTTCTTCCAAATCGGAATATCGATTAGAAAATATCGTAAAAACGGGTTTATTTTTTTTTAATTTGATGCCTGCTAACTGACCAAAAAAGTACCGTATGATCGATAAAACGGCGTCAGCGATAGCTATGAAATGAAGATCGCTGTCATTTCACATGTAAAATTATATGGTGAATGTAATCGATGGTTATTTCCAAGCCAACTGGACGCCGTTTTTTTTTGATCATATGGAATTTTTGTGTAGAGGTAAATTGTGTCCAATTAACTTTTTTTATTCTATAAAATACGTAATAGTTCTATGTCCATGGAATATTCGGACACCCTGTATAATCCGGAAATAAAATATACCTACATTTTCATTTTTTTAAGTTTAGTCCTACATTAGCGATATACCCAGATTTTCCAGTGATGACCTCACCACAAAGGTATAGATATTGTTTACAGTAATTTTTTTTCCATAATACCGGGTGCGTCTCAAAAGTGGCTCAGCCCCTATAACTTTTTTATTTTTTCAGATAAAAAAACGAGTTTTGGTATGTTAATATATGACATAAATTATGATTGATTGATGTATTCAATTGTTTTTGGTTTTTTGGTTTCACCGGAAATGACTACAACTTTTGATTTTTAAATAACACCCTCGGCATTTTTTTTACTTTATTCGATAATAAATGATATTCTGAATAGAATGACATACCATATGTCAACTTTTGACATTCTCGCTTAATAAAAAAATTGTATTCTAAATTTCAATCCAGAGGGCTTTGTTGAAAACACTAATTCTTAATCAAGGAGCCGTGGAAAAATAGATTTGATCGTCTAATGTTTTTACTGTCTTGTCCTGGCCAGTTCAAAAATGTCCAAATCGTCTTTTTAATCATATCTCAATTTTTTCAAATGGAACGAGGGTGGCTCATTAGCATATTTGGAAAAAGCGTTTTTTACGAATAATTTGATACCACACACTTGGTATTTCCAGTCAAATTTTCGTTACGAACCGCAAGTTATAATTTCAAATAAACCATATGCGAAAATGTCAAAAGCTGACATATGAGAGCGTTATTTTCTATCGAATAAAGTAAAAAAAGACCGAGGGTGCCATTTAAAATTAATTATATTTTAAGTATATTAATAATATTAAAAAAAAAGCTGAACATATTTTTTTAAAATTATTAATATGTCTGAAATAATTATCAAAACATATTTAATAATATCTGAGGATTATGTAAGCTGGTCAGAATGGAAGCCAAAATGCAATAAAAATCAAAAGTTGTGGTCATTTCCGGTGATACAGGAAGTGACCGAAAACAATTGAATACGTCAATCAATCCTAATTTATGTCATATAATAACATACTAAATGATTGTTTTAACGTATCGCTTTTTTATTAAGTTATAGGGATGAGCCACTTTTGAGATGCACCTGTACCTTCCGCTCCGCAGATCGACACACTAACGCTGGACAAAGCTGGGAGTTATTACATTGGATCCCCAATCAGTGACGCGAGCATAAAATATATACGTCAAAAACTTTGTCGGTTCCATCTGCTATATGTTGGCGCATTTATCTTCAGGCTTAGTGAAAATATTCTTTAGATCGTTTGATCTTTAATTCATTTAAAAATTAATTTCATGACAAGTTTTTAATAAATGACATATAGAGGTCAGCCCAACAAATATCATCTTTTTTATTTAAAATGCCACTATAACGCCATTTTTTTCGATAGCAAGGTACATAGGATATTATCATTTTCCGTGTTCTTAGTTCATTCTCAGATAAATATAAGGTAATGAAAATAAATTTTTATCCCAGTTTGAAAAAAATAAGACAGATAGGTCGATGTTTTTCGTCTTCTTCTCTAAAATGTTTATAGTCTGCGTTCGCGCCGCTCTCCTAAATTTCCAGATTTAAACATACCCGTTTCTAAATTTAACTCGCAGCCTCTCGACTTTCTACCGTGCATCTCCGGGCATTCATTGTGATCTTTGCCAAGTTTTCGTGTGGATTTTCGATTTCTTTTTACCGTTCCGATTTCGTGTACACAATATTTCAGGCGAAATATATAGTACGCTCAGGTGAATTTTCTGTTATGTTTCACTGCTTAGGACGCTGCGATAAGGTATTATACTCGGCGTTATGTATCCCGTGCATGTTTAGAAACGAAGTTTTTTATAATTAGAGTATATTTAATAGTGAGTACCTAATTTATTTAGTTGTATTGGTTTGAGTTTGCATTAGAATCATCTTTGTCTGCTTGTACTAATACAGATTGTAGTTATAAAAGCTGCTGATTCAGGATTTCTTAAACTGGAGTTAACAGTTTATAAGTCAAAATTGGAGAAAAAAAGTGGGACATTATCACACAAAGCGTCGCGTTTATTTTTACCCCTAATGACAAATTATTTATGTGTTTAATTTATTGTGTCTCATTTTTAAAATGATATAATATTTTTATATTTTGAGCTGGGTTATTCAATAAACGAGCACAGAAAGCTTTTAAAAGCTTCATTCAGAACCTCGCAATTAGTGGAATAAATTACACTTTATACTTTTTAGTTTACGATCATTCACAATGTCTAAAAAACACAATTAAAATTAATAGAATATCCTAGCAACAGCTTGCGGTAGTCTGTTGTATCCATAGAGAAAGCCAAATATTTAGCTTATAAAACAATAAACTTTTGATTTCTAACCACAATTTCTCTTGATGGATGATAATCAAAGGTCAAAATGACATTCGCCGCAAATTTTGAAGTATAATAATTAGTGGAAAAGTCAAAAGTTTGTTAACTTTTTCTACTAATTGAAAATGTCTACCACTAATTTAGACGTTTTGCTAATTTATTCCACTAATTTCGAGATTTTGAGTGAGGCCTTAGTCAACTTTTAATATGCATTACTAAAAATGGAATACGCTGTCAAATGTTACAGTTATTGTATAATTTAATAATAATAAACACCTTTTTTAAAAGGGATGCCTTATATATACCGGGTGCGTCTCAAAAGTGGCTCACCCCTATCACTTTTTAATTTTTTTCAGATAAAAAATCGAAATTTGGTATATTATTATATGACATGAATTAGGATTGATTGACGTATTCAGTTGTTTCCTGCCACTTCCTGTTACACCGGAAATGACTACAACTTTTAATTTTTAAATGGTGCCCTCGGTGTTTTGTTGCTTTATACAATAGAAAATGACACTCTGAATAGAATGACATACCATATGTCAACTTTTGACATTTTCGAATATGGTTTATTTGAAATTGTAACATGCGATTCATAACGACAATTTGACTCGAAATACCAAGTATGTGGTATCAAATTATTCGTAAAAAAATGTCTTTTCCAAATATGCTAATGAGTCACCCTCGTTCCATTTGAAAAAACTGAGATATGATTAAAAATACGATTTGGGCATCTATTAACCGGCCAGGACAAGACACGAATAATATTAGACGATCAAATCTATTTTTCCGAGGCTCCTTGATTTAAAATTAGTGTTTTTAATACAGTTATGGCACTCTAGATTGAAATTTAAAATTCAGTTTTGTTTTAAGCAAAAATGTCAAAAGTTGACATATGCTATGTCATTCTCTTTAGAATGTCATTCTCTATCGAATAAAGTAAAAAAACACCAGGGGTGCCATTTAAAAATCAAAAGTTGTAGTCGTTTCCGGTGAAACAGGAAATGACAGAAAACAATTGAATACGTCAATCAATCCTAATTTATGTCATATACTAACATACCAAATCTCTAAAGTTATAGGGGTGAGCCATTTTTGAGACGCATCCGGTATATTACAAGTATAGTTAGATAGCACAATTCCCGATTTCAAAAATATGTAATTCAAATAAAGATTAAAAATATCATACATGCCCCTTTTTTCCAACGAGCCTGGGAAGATTTCAGACAGGCGACATCTAAAAATGACAGAAAATTTACGTCTTTAGATTTTTAGGACTTCAATTCAACCATGTTTTCATGTTTTTTTAGGGTTCCGTACCCAAAGGGTAAAAACGAATCCTATTACTAAGACTTCGCTGTCCGTCCGTCCGTCCGTCTGTCACAAAGGTCTATCTTATGAACCGTTATAGCTAGACAGTTGATATTTTTACAGATAATGTATCTATGTTGCCGCTTTAAGAACAAGTACTAAAAACAGAATTAAATAAATGTTTATAAATAAAAAAGTACTTTCGCTAAACATTATCTTTTAAGTAACAATTTTACATAGAATCTTTCAAGTTCTCGGTGACCGTGTGCTTAAAGCGTTAGGAATAGGACTTTACGCTGCTATGACGTTGGAGCCGTAGTAAGGTTCGAATCCTAGTCAAGGCGACTTTTTTTTAATAGTTTTTTTTTTAATTTTTACATATTTTTACATATTTATTTTTACTTTTTACATATTTATTATT